CATACATACATACATACATACATACATACACACATACATACATACACACATACATACATACACACACATCACACATACATATATAGATACATACACACATACACACACATACACACATACATATATACGTACATAAATACACACACAGACAGATAGACAGACAGACAGACAGACAGACAGACAGACAGACAGACATACAGACATACAGACCGACAGACAGACAGACAGACAAACAAACAGACAGACAGAGAGACAGACAGACATACAAAAAAAACCAATAAAATAAAACAAAATGAATAAATAATTGTAAGAAATAACCAGAGAACTAGCACCAGCCTGATTCCGTTCTCAATAAAGAAATTTCTCTGAAACTTTTGGCCCGAATGACCTTCCATATTTTACGCTTCCTTTGACACAGTTATGATAATTTAGGAGACTGGCTGCTTTGGTCACTCTTGTAAGGCTCAATCGGATTCAGAGGAGTACGTTGTCCCAGGAGGAGGAGGACAAATGTACCTGTGTCCTGGTTTCTCATCTGGTCTGTTTTGTGTTTTAAAGATGCTGCTTGTTTCCTTGGTTGTTGCTGTTTTTCAAAGAAAAACCATTACAGTTATTATAAAAAGACAAACAGTTACGGCAACAGAGGCCAAATCAAAGCCAAACAAAACCCTCACCTGGTCCTGTACTGTTGCCCGTCTCTGTCGGTTGACCTGTGACCCGCCGTGGGTCATCTACTGGTTCCGTGGCCAATGCCGCATCACTTGGAAACAGGACCAGGTGAGTTTCATCCTGGGAGAGCCTATCCGATTGTCGCTCTGGGGGAGAGAATACTGTGTTATTTTGTTTGTTTTCGCTGAAGTTAAATTTTCTACAGAGTTCCCAACTGGCTTTTGTAGTTTGCAACTATCATCTGCACGCTATTGAAAGATTTTAAGCTCAGAAGGTAATAGTTTTCAAGAGAAAAGAGATTTTTTCTTTGGAAAATTTTACCCACACTCTAAGCCACCTCCAAATAAATAGGTATAAGTTTTTATCTATTGGCTGAAATAAATCATCTTGAGAGGATTTTTTAAAAAAATTGTTATGTGGCCGAGTGCATTTTGCATTCACTTTTCCACAGTGATGAAATGTGTAAAGGCACAACAAACTCTGGTATGTTATTATTACATGTCGTCATTGGGGCTCGCTGTTAGCCCGGAAGCAGCTGGTAAAAAGAAAATGACACTTATTTTCTAGTTTGTTTGTTCGTTTGTTTGGATAAAGAGAAACACATCGACACAATAATGGTAATTTAATGCTAGGAAAAAGTAAGACAGAGAGACAGAGAGAGACAGAAAAATGTAGGGAAACTAAAGATGCAGCAGGACCTACCCCTGGCACCCTCCAACCACCTACAAAATTGCACAATTATTGTAGTGCCGTCAAAATTTCAAGGCAAAATTTATGGTCAAATATTTTCCCAACTAGAGAAAATATATCTCCAGCATATTTTTAATCCACCTGAGCGCTGTATTCTAGAAAATTCCACCCAGAATACTAATAAAAAATCCCCATCAGAGGTTTCTACAGATTTTAAAAGGCTTACATCCTATGAGCTCAGACAATAGCACTTTCAAAAGAAAGTCCGTCCCTTTGTTTCTAATCGCAACGCTGTGCTTATGGAACTCATATTGTGAAAACCTTTCGTGAAATTAATGGTGCGGAACAAAACATTGTTTACTCCGTTTCTGCAACCATGGATGATTATTACTGTTCAAACCAAAATATACATTGACACCAGCGTATCGCTACTGAATAGGAGTGGGTTACATTGTTCACTTATTTTACTCGTAAGTTATATAATAATATAAGACTTGCTTCTTACAATCTATTAATATTGTTTGAAAAATCGTATATTCATACCGGTAAAAAAAGGCAAAGAATGTCGGCATTAATCCAAGACACCTTCCTGTCGCAGTACCCTCCTCACCATAATGCTGCTTCTCATCAGACCAGTTATTGTAAAATGTATGAGCAGACATTCTTCCACAAGTTCACTTGTCTTTTATCAGGAGTTCGTAATTTTACGTGGGCTAAAGTTTTACCTCCAGAAAACGTCATTGGTGAGTCCTGACGTTGGCCACATACGTAAGCGCCATAAACAAAATGTATGTGAGAAGCTGGAAATGCTGTGACTCTTTCCATTTACCGCGCGACGGAGATTTTATAGCATTTTATATAATTTATTTAAGATGAAACCCAAGACTCGATGAAACGTCGTGTTTTAATTTAGCCTCAGTTGTTGTGGATGTGTCACGACGCAGCGAAATCAGGCGCTTGTCAATTTTGGGGTATGTAAAGTTATTGGTGAAAAACATACCCATCTGTCTTCAACAGAAGTCCAGACGTTTAAAATTGAAGGAGGTGTGGTTGCCTAGTTTTAAAGCTTGAATTAGCGAGAAACAAAGTTTGGTAATTTCAATAGCTTCGTAGTCCGTTAGATTTTATTTTCCAATTCCTAATTAAACACCATTTCCAGTGTGTCTATTTTGTGTCTAAAAAGATGACATTATGTGTTTTTAACCTTTCATTGAGTACAACAAAGCGGGTATGTCAACAGAAACCAAATCAAAACCAAACAAAACCCTCACCTGTACCGTTGCCCCTCTCTGTCGGTTGACCTGTGACCCGCCGTGGGTCATCTACTGGCTGCGTGGCAAAAGCTGTTTCCCTGGGATACACGTGCGGGTCATCCTGGGAGAGCCCGTCCGAAAGTCGCCCTGTGAAAAAGAGCACTGTGTTATTTTGTTTGTTTTCGCTGAAGTTAAATATTCTCTCGCGCTCCCTCCTAGGCTTTGGAAGTTTTCCTCTATCATCAGCACGCTGTTCGAAGCCTGGAGTCTGACTGTTCCTGTGATAGTGTGATTACAAGATATTTATTATATTCTTGTCCAGTCGTAACATTCGGGATTTTACGCACTTTGCCTTCGGCTACAGAATTGGTTTCAATTAGCCTTGCTTTTTTATATAATGGCTTCATAGAAGACACATAATGCTAGAAGTAGCTTTGTCTGATTTGTAGACGGAAGTTTGGGGAAGGGCTACGGGTGAAATTTTGTGATCTGCAAAATCTGTTGTCTTATAGATCTAATGAAATAGCAAAACGTGTACACTGGCTTTTTTGATCTAACGGTTCAGTGCTTCGCTGTTGCACGCAAGGGACCCGACTTCAATTCTTGGGTGGGGAGAATTGTAAACGAGTATCTAGGTCTTTTTGGAAGGATGTTGTATCCCTCTCAGCCCGGGTTGGCCATGACAGGCACGGTCGGTAGCTTCCCTCCTAAATGACCTAGATTGTGTCAATGGGGGCGTGTACTCATTGCAAAATGCTGGTGCAAATACAATTAGCTGTGTGTGCTTGAAAGGTGATTCTTTGTTACTGAGAGGTACTGGTGTGTTTATATACAGTCCGACTCCACTTGTGTTGAACTCACTTGAGTTTCTCTGCGATAACGTTTATCCTTTTCTAGGGTCCCAGCATCTCTTCTTCTGTACATTATTGTTTGAGTCAAACAATTGGCTTGCCTTCAAATTAAGTGTAATACGCCTAAGGTGGAATTACTTTATTACAACCTACTGCAATTAAGCAACGGTTGTATTGTTTTTTATTCATAATGTGCAACGTCAGATGCTTCACAGCAGTATTTACCTTCATAAAACTTAACGTGTAAGTACAATTATGTAGAGCCTGTTGTTGTTATTGTTGTTGTTGTTGTTGTTGTTGTTGTTGTTGTTGTTGTTGTTATCGTTCCAGCAACAGCTGTGCTCTCGCCCCTCTGTCCAATGCCATGTAATGATAAGTGCAGGTTTGCGGCAGTTGCTGTAATGTTCCGTAGAGTGGGTTGTCACTGTTAGGTGTACAGTGGGAAAAGTGATGATCTACAGTCTTATTATGCATAGTCAGGCAAAGGACACAGTGGGGGTTAATTCTGGTTTTATTCTGTTCAAGTGAAAGTTGAGCTGTTTATGTTCTGTTCGTAGACGGAAGATCGTGGTCTGTTTCTTTCTCTGTAGGTGGTTGATATTGTCATTTTGTTTTGTTTCGGTCATATGTCTGAAAACTCCTCTTTCTGTATTTGCCGAGGTCTATCTGTTCATCCAATCTTGTTAGCTGTTGCTTTTAAGGGGG